CATTTATTAGCTGGGGCCTCCCAAAGGGACATCCCCCGCTCTGCGCTCTTCCTAGGCTCAGACTTGCAAAGCCAAGTGTCCTCTGAACATCTTCACCGCGGTGTTGTGCTCACCAGTCCTGGCCCGCCTGTCCTCTTTCCCCTCAGACTGTTCCTCCCCCAAACGCTCCCTCTCTCAGCAGATGGCCAAACCATTGCCAAATTTGGGCATTCGACACAAAACTTTAAGGACTCATTCTTGAGTCTTCGCTCTCCCTCTGCCCTTGCAGCCATTACACTCGAAAGCTCGCCAAGTAAATCCTAAATATATCTTGAGTCCATTTACTCGTGCCCGTTCCTGCTGCTACAGATCTAAACCCAGCTGGCCTCTTTTCCCTGGAGTGCTGGAACAGCCCCTCGACGGGGCCTACCAGCATCTCCCTTCCAGTGTCATCTCCACATCCACACGGTGGACAGAATGACCTTTCTAAGGCGTAAATCTGATCACGTTCCTGCACCGAGTCAACCGTCTAGCTGCTCAGAGGGTAAACGTGAATTCCCACTGTGGCTTCCAAGGTCTTCCCTGATCCAGCCTTTCTTGACTCAGATGGGACCCCTCTATCTGTGATCTCGACTCTCCAGCCATACAGACCTTTTATGCTTCCTGGTTCTAAAAAGCACCACGTTCTCGAACTCCCAGCTTTCCAACCTACTTTATCCTCACTTTGAATCTTCTCTTGCCCTCTTCCCAGTGCCCAGCTCCTACTCAAACTTCAAGGAAGCCTTATAAAATTCCTGTAAAGGACTGAAGTGTGATCCCCCCACCCCATTCACAGGTGTGACTGTCCTGGCAGACATAATTAAGGTTAAATGAGGTCATCAGGATGGGGCCCTAAACCAAATGGACTGGTGTCCGTATTTTAAGAGAGGAAGAGACACCTGGGATGTGTACACACAGAGAAAAGACCCTGTGAGGACACAGTGAGAAGGCGGTCATCTCCAAGCCAAGGAGAGAGACCTCGGGAGAAACCAAATCTGCCCATGTCTCGATCTCACACTTCCAGAACCAACTGTGGAAAGGAAATTTCTACTGCTTAAGTGGCATTTTGTTACAGCTGCCCAACCAGACTAATACAACTTGTAAGCTGCATTAGTGTCTCTTGTGCTTTGCAAATCTCTCTTTGTATCACACGTCATCCTGGAGATTACTTGTTTCATATCTGTTCTCCCCACTGGGCTGCAGACACCAGGAGGAAAGCTAATTCTTGGTTATCTTTACTATAGTCTCCAGGGCCTAGCGATGCACATAGCAAGAGCCCAGGACATGAGTGCGTAGAACCTATACACATGGCTACACAAATTGAAACTAACTCTAAATGAAATACAATTAGAAACTCGGTTCCTGGGGCGCCTGGGTGGCTCAGTGGGTTAAAGCCTCTGCCTTAGGCTCAGGTCATGATCCCAGGTCCTGAGCTGGAGCCCTGCATCAGGCTCTCTGCTTGGCGGGGAGCCTGCTTCCTCCTCTCTCTCTGCCTATTTGTGATCTCTGTCTGTCAAATAAATAAATAAAATCTTAAAAAAAAAAACAAAACAAAGAAAAGAAAGAACGAAAGAAACTCGGTTCCTGGGTAGCACCAGCCACCTTTTAAAGGCTCACAGCTGTATGCAGGTACTAGTGGCCATAGTGGACGGTGTAGACCGTAAATAGCACATTTCCTTCACCACACAGAGTTCTACGGGCCAGTACTGGTATAAACGGCACCCAAAGGGACTTTGAGCCTGAATGAAAGCAAGCCAGGTAAAGAAAGATGGGGAGGCAGAGGGAACAACAAAGGCAACTTGCAGAGCTTGAACCATCAGGGGACCTGTGGGGAACTAGAAGCAGTCTGCTGCTCTAGGGAGAGGCGAGAGGTAAGGACAAGGTCACGGGAGGATTTAAGTCCGGAGGAAAGCTTGAAGTTTATTGTGGCTGTGGAGAGAATCCAAGCAGAGAAGTGTCTGGGTCAGATTTGCATTTTAGATACATTACTCTGTGGGGAGTGTAAGCCTGGAGGCAGGAACAACAATCAGGGGGTTGTTGAAATAGTCTGGGTCAGAGAACCAGAACAAAAGGAGGGGGCAGGGAGGACGGGGTGGGAGAAAGAAGCCAGACTTGATGGCCATTTCAGTGGAGGGTGAGAGCTGGCAGGAGTCCAAGGTGACCTGTAAACTTCTAACCAATGGTACCGCCCACCGAGACTAGACTGAAGGGGAAGGTAGAAGCAGGTTTTATTTGGGAGGAGGACAGAAGGCTTTTGGACACACGGAGTCTGCAGTTTCTGTGGGTGAGGTGGATAGGACACCTGGCAGAGTCCGAAGCCCAGGGAGGAAGAAAGCGTAGCCAACAGGGTCATGGAGTTGGTGAGTAAACAGGTTGTAGGCAAAATCACGTGCCTGGACTAGACCACCTGAAGAGAAAGGTGAGCAGCAGGCTGGCCAAGGCCAGAAGCCCACAGAACAACATTCAGCAATGGGCGGAGGACGGGCCCAGGGATGAACACAGAACACATGGTGGTTGTGTCTTTTATCAAATTACCCCAACTAGTTTTGAAACCATTTTAATTCTTTGGACCCATACAGCCTGCTGGAAGGAGCACTTTCAACATATTTCTGTCTGATATGTAATGTTGGTTTGATTATTGGTTTGCTTGTTTCCATCATCACACAAGCTCCCTGAAGTCTGAATAGGAAACCAGCTGCTTTGAAATCTCTTGAATGGGATTTGTGGGATCAGAGGACTTCCTTCGAGATCCCACCTGGGGAAGGAGAGGACTTCCTATCTAGAGGCAGGGAGACAGGATCGTGACAACCATGAACCGTTCATGTAATTAGACCGACACTGAGGGAAAGCCATTTGATTTTGCCTCTGCAGCTCAGAATCAGAAATGACTCTGCCCTAAAACAAGAGGGATTCCACACTGATCAACGAGGTTCCTGAGTGATCTCGAAGGGAACAGCTAGGCTCCTTTGACGTGAATCCTATACAGAAGGGGTCAAAATATGGAGAAGAGCTGTCAGCCTCAGTTCCGACCAGAATGTTAACGGCTTCTCTGATACTAATTAACAGTCACAAAATACCACCCCAGGCTCTATATTACTTGCTTCTCAATACCCTTTCTGTTTAATTTCAATTACATTTTCTCTTAGAGTCATAAACCTATCAGGCAGCCCAGGAACTAACTCAGACTCCTCATTTCTCTCCAGTCACTCCACCTTGGTAGCACAGAATTTAATTTGTTTATAATTTACTGGTACTCACTGATTTCATCCACATTTTTAAGAAATTTCTGCAAATCTTTCTCGTGATCATCAGCCATTGTCAACCAGAGTACCTGGGGGAGGCAGCATAAGTGATGAAAATTAATGATAATAAAACACTAAGCGGAATTTGTCAAACTCATTAGCCTTCTCAAACGTAGAGACAAGAGATTATTTTTAAGATAGATTTGTGTTCATAAATGTCACGAGTAACAGCAGGGTGATCTACTCCACTCTGGCTGCTGTTAAGGCCAAAGGATACTCATTATTTGTGGTGATACTTCTGGAAAGCTGTCAGCCCTCCCTCCACTGGGAGAACTGCTCTGCAAAATGTTCCTCCAAAGCCAACAACCGCTGCTGTGATTCAGGGACCTGGCAGGAAGGCGGTCAGGGGAACAGAGGCTGACCAGCTGGCAGGAATGGAGAGAACACAGTGCCTGACTTTGATCATGACAGGCCCTCCCAGCCAGAAGCCTGGACCTGGCAGTGTGACTGGTAGCCAGGAGCTGGAGAACTTGCACGTAACCGTCCAAACTCGTTTAAACTATAAGCCTCTGGCTTGTTTCTGAGGAGAGAAGAGAACCTGAAAACGGGCTGAAGAGAGCAGAGCTTGAGGGCACTGTGGACCAGGTACTTTAGGTTTATTACTTCTCCGCGGTTTGTGGGTAAACAGGCCTCCGGGTATATGCAGGGGTTTCCAAAGTTCACCCACAGGCCATAAAAACCATCCTCAAACTTGTTGAATATACAGAGTTCTTAGCTATAGCACCAAAGCTTCTCAGTCAGTCAACCCGCCAGGGAGCCGGGAATGAAGACTTTTAAGACTCTCTCCGGGGTGATTCTGATTTACAACTAGGTTTAGTAGTAGTGCAGTCGTGGAAGCAGCTCTAAATGGAAATTTGAACTCGGCCATTGAACAAAGTGGGAGTTACTTGACTCTTGAGACTCCACCAGTTCCAAGCTGTGTGACCTCAGCTAAAGTCGCCAACCTCTCTGAGCCTAACTCATTCTATGGAAACGGTAACACGATCCAAGAGGACTCCCCAGGGGGTTAACTGAAGCACCAGGAACGCAAGGAGTGGTAAATGCGAGGCCCCCTTGTCTACAAAACGGGGGCGAGGACGTGTGGCTTCACTAAGTGAGAGATAGGGTTCCTTCCAGCTCGTAACATAATAAGGCTCCCACGGAACTAAGGCCTAGTGAAGCGAGCTGACTTGCCCAAAGTTGCCGGTGCAGAAGGAAGGCTCAGCACTTGCCCCGGCAAGCGCAGGGGTGTAAGGATGCGCGACCCGAGCCGAACCCACCGTCGGCCAGCAGATGCACTCAAGGAGGCACGGCACCCGCGGTGCGCATGCGGGAGCCAGGCGACCCGCTCGCCTGGACGTCCCTCCCCGCCCAACGCAGAGGGGCGGGGCCGACGGCACCGTTGCCTGGCAACCACTCCGCAGCGTCCACCGGCTCCCAAGCCCAAAGCAAGGACCCAGCTCGCGGCTGATACCGTCTCATCTGCTGCGGCCCACATCAGGGTCCTCTGCTCGGCGCTGACGGCCAGATCAGGACCACATCCCAGGGCAGACCCCGGGTCACCCCGACTCACTGACCTGACACGCCCAGGGCCGGACAGGAAATGACGGCTGTGGGCGGGCGGTGACTGACCGGGGGCGTGGCCAAGGCCCGGGGCGGGGCTTGGGCGTAGAGTGGGCGGGGCCCCGACGCTCACGTTGTGCGACGCCGCGTCTCGGTTGAGTTGGGACCCTGGCCGCTGGCAGGAAGCAGGAGCTCGGGGTGAGCGCGCTGGTCTCTGAGTCAAAGCCAGGTCTTCGTCTTTCTTCTAAGGATGGGTTATCACTCCCATGAGCTTACTACCCCTGGCCCAAAAAGGGGACAGCCTTCAGTGTACTTGGGAGAAACAGGCTTGGGTGTGAATCCGGTTTTGCTTACTGGCGAATGTGAGAAACTTAAGGGAATTATGTAACCCTCTGATCTTCAGTTTCCTCGTTTATAAGCTGGAGAAATGGCCCGTAAGGTTTTTGGTTAAAGTGCCAGGCATCTAGTCAGTAGGAATACGTGGTAGTTATGATCCAGGGAGTCCTACGACTGGAAGCAGAACGAGACGGTGGGCACGTGTACACTTTGAACATATGCACACAGTCTTGAAGAGATTCCGGTCTGTTTTTCTTAAAAGTTCAGTGTTATGTGTTGGGTTAAAAGGGGGAGAAAAGCAGATTTGGGGGGAAGCTCCATCTTGAGCTTAAGCTGATGTTCAGAAACACCTGGGACGAATTGGCAAATTGGGTGTTATTTCAGAAACCTGTTTGGTTGGGGCCGAGGAGCCCCCCGGGGTTAAAACTTGCCAGGAGGGGAGAAGGGTTCAGGCATGGCCAACTAGATCCAACATTGGTTTAGTACAGTCTGTGGACTCTGTCCTGTGGGCTAGAGCTGGAGAACCCCGAGCTGCTTGACTGAAATCTCCAGAAGGCATTGGTCCGCATCACTCCTGCTTGGGAACGCCGGGAGTGGAGTGGAGCACAAAGGGGCTGGGCGTTCTCTTGGCCTCAGAGTGGGTGCAGCTGCAGTCAAGTCTTTCAGCATATCCCTCAGCTGCGGCAGGAGGCAGTGGGACCTGGGGCACCCAGCAGGAGAGGCACAGCAGCTGTCCCCGGGGACTGAGATTGTTCCTGAGAAGTAGCAGAGTGGAGGCGTCTGGCAGAGGAGGTTTGCTTGTGCCAGCTACAGCCTGGAAATTCTCGGAAAGACACGGGTCACTTTACAGTGACCGTGGAGCCTGTGGAGACTGATGGAGACAAGAACCAGTGACAGGTTACCGCTATTAGTATCGCCTTGTTTTCCCCTCGGGCTGAGAGCTCTTGAGCACACACAGGCGTAGTCTCCAACTCAGGCTCCTTTTGTCACTTTGTGGCTGACAGTCTTAATTCCAAATCACTTACTTCCTATTCCACTCCTCCTCACCACACTCAGGTCCCGGACTCCAGAGGGGCCTGCCCACCACGTTCAGTCACACCTTCATGTTGTCGGTTGTGGGCGGTGTACAGCATGCCAGGTGCTGTGGAAAGCCCCCCCCCCCCACGGTGTCCTTGACAAATGACAAATATTTATCATGTGCTGAGTGATCAGGAGCTTTAGAACCCATCAGTATGTGTTCAAATCTCAGCTCTCCATTTCTTAGCATCTATTAAAATATTGTTAAGTACCCCTGGGCACCTTTCCTAACCTAGGTGCGGAAGAGCTTGCACTCTTCCCTACTACTTTTACTAGCCACGTGACCTTGTCAAGGTCCTTCCTTAATCTCTCCATGTCTTAGTTCCCTCACCTGAAAAAATGAGGGTGTTAAGTAGTATCGATCTCACAGGACTGCTCTGAGAGGCACGGGAGTGTGAGAGGCACGGGAGGAGTGTCTAGACAATGCAGGACCATCAGGAAATGTTATAAACTGTTTTTACTACCGCTGCAATTAGTATGCATTAGACCAGAGCTTCAGAACCTGGACCGTGCATAAGAATTACCTAAGGGTCGGGGCACCTGGGTGGCTCAGTGGGTTAAGCCTCTGCTTTCGGCTCAGGTCATGATCTCAGGGTCCTGGGATCGAGTCCCGCATTGGGCTCTCTGCTCAGCAGGGAGCCTGTTCCTCCTCTCTCTCTCTCTCTCTGCCTGACTCTCTGCCTACTTGTGATCTCTCTCTGTCAAATAAATAAATAAAATCTTTAAAAAAGAAAAAAAAGAATTACCCAAGGGTTTTGTTAAGTTGTAAATTTGGATTCATTGGGACTGGGTTCTGAGATTCTGCGTGATGCTGCATTGTGGACCATGGGCCACACACTAATTAGCACATGAACAATCTTCTCTTTGTGTTAGACGTATTTTTATAGTTAGAAGTAATTTTTTTTCTCCTTGAAGTCCTCTTTCTATTTGACACCCGCTCCACATACTCAGAATACTACCCTAATACAGGAGATTTTTATGCTTGAATGTCTTTTATTGATCACCCCATCCTACTTCTCTGCTGTTGAAATATCAACAAGCATTGTTGGAGTGTTTGCTTTAACCATAAGTCAGGGACAGAGTGCCTGTCCTCAGTGAATTCACAGTCCAGTGAGGAAGGCAGATGCATAAACAGATTATTACAGAGTGGTGTGATAGGCACAGTGAAGGGCTAGTGCTTACAGGGTAAAGGAGGAGGATGACAGGGAAGTGAAAGCCCCATGGGAATAGGAATGTACGTGATTCGTGTGGAAGCTGAGCCTGTGTGCAATGCTCTGGGCAGAGCAGACATTTAGAAGTAGGAACCCTGTGTCATGGGTGAGAAAACAGACAAGTTTAAGGCAAGAGTGGTGAGAGATGAGCCAGAGAAATAGGTACAGCACAGGGTCTCGAAGAGGGAAGCATAGGGAGAGCAGAAGGCAAGGAGGAGCCCAGGCAAGAGCCGAGCAAAATATCTGGGCAGGAGGGATGTCAAGGAGAGGGCAAGTGCCCACATGGATCTCTGTGGAGCCAAGACCTTGCTCCAAGCCCCAGCCCTCTGATCCAACAGGATAACTAGACTGTGGATCTCTTGGGGGTAGGAATTTTGTTTTATTTTGTCTTAGTGTGCTTAGCACCTGACACTTAGTTGGAACTAAATTTAGATTTGCCAAATAAGTGATTTCTTGCTCTGTGTGGAGGAAGATTGGAGGAAGGCTCCAATCTAAGTTACTCTAGATCCTTCTAGGGGAAGGAATAAGAGTATTTACAGTTTCTCTGCATCAGCCTTCTCAGAGAAGTCCATTTGGAGGGCAAACATTGTTACAGCCTCAAAATATGTTTCAGGGTAAATGTACTTGACAGATTGATCAAAACGTCAGAGGGGTAATCCCTGGCTAGCCATTGGGCTGTCTCCAACGATTCCAATATTCCCCTGCATACACAGTAGGATCTCACTTCCCTGTGAACTGGTGATTCGCTTGTTCAGTGCTGTGTGGGAAGAAGTGAAGAGGGCAGAAGCCTTCAGGAGCCCATGCGTGACTTACAGTATACAGCCAACCCTTCCCCCGCCCCGGCAGCGAGGGAGTGGAGGCTGTGTCTGCTTGAGTCTCTGAGTGAGAGGACATGTCTAGGTCCAATGGGCATATAGCATGAATGAGTAATAGACCTTTTTTGTTTTAATCCACAAATATTTTGGACCTCTTTGTTATGCAGCATGACACAGCCTTTCATGTCGAATATAAGCACTCAGCTCTTGAAGTTCATTTGCTACAGTGACAAAATCTAGGGGCCGTGTGCCCAGGTGTGCAGATTACGATTGTTGTGACTTACATTTTAAGAGTCAGTGTCTGCATTTTCATACACGTTCATTTTCGTACACATAGAGGAAAAGAGACATTTGAACCGTACGTGCCTCACATTTCAAGTTTATCCCTCCTGGAGAAACTTCATGAATCGTATTTTCCCAGTGGCTGCTTCCACCCAGCCTAGATCCCTTTTGTGGTAAACAAATTTTACTCTTTCTTTATGTCCTCATAAAAATTGGAGAACATTTGGCCACCTTCCACTATACAGTATATTGGAGACTTGGAGATTATTTTAAGTTGTCTCTTTTCTCTGGTTTCCTTTTGTGTAAATGATTCTAGCTGTTTGCTTTTTCTCATCAATCATACTTTATAAGCTTAGGAGAGATAAGAAATCGGCCTCCGCCCCCGACCCACCCCCAGGATAGCCGCATGCAGAATGAAGGGATCCAGCATTTGCCTGCTGGCATTAAAGGGTGCAGACAAGGTCAGCCCAGAGCCAGGAGCCACACCATGAAGGTGTCCCGTTGGACAAAATTCCTCATGTAGATGCTGGGCCCACAGTTCTGGTAGCTTTGGCCTCAGGATTGAGCAGAGGAGGAGGTGGAGGGGATTCAGCGCTATTTCTTCTCTCCCTGAAGGGAACTCAGAAATCACTTTTGATAGTTCCCCCAAACATATGTCCTTTCATTTAAAAAAAAAAAAAAAAAGTAGGTAACGTTTTTGCTTCTTGGTCTTTTCTCTTTCAGTTCCTGCCTGATGGTGGATAAAGAAATGATTTCGAGATCCAGTCACAGCTTTCGTCTTGTGTGCCCACAGAGGGTAAGTCTTCCTTGGGATGTCTATGTGTAATTAACAACACCACAGTTATTAACAACAACAATCAAAAACAGTGTGTTGGTGACCAGCCTGGCTGAGTGGCTGCCTGTCAGGTGTCGCTCTGAGTCCTTTTCTTGCGTTAATGAGCTTCAGTCTCTAGACAACCTGGCAAGGTCCCACTCCCATTTCACAGATAAGGAAATGCACAGATAAGGAAATAAGGGAGGTGATGGGACTTGCCGGAAGGGAAGCCAAGATGTGAACCCTGGTCTGAGTGTCCCCCCAGTTTGTTCTCTCCATCTCAGCACCCTGCCCCCAGTTTCGCCCTTCACAGAGGTCTCTGTCTCCAAGTCCTGAGGGCAGCGGCCCTCCTGGGAGCCTTCCGCCCTAGCTCTGCCTCCTGGATATTTGCACTTCCCTCTGGGACACTCTGTCTGCTGCACGGGCTGGTCCAACCCTCCAAAGGGACAGGGTGCATCTCTCTTACAGCTGGAGGGCCGTGTCACCCACTCCAGTAAAAACAGGGCGACTCCAGCCATGTCCTCCTTTGGAGGCTTCCTGTGGGTCTCAGGGCTCCTCTGCCTGGAAAGGGACGGGGCAGCAGACATTGAGGTCCTGGTGGAACCCACTCTGCCTAGTGTGGAACCGCACTGCCACCCTGTGGGCACAGTGGCTCTGCTGCGACGACCACGGAGGCAACCGTTTCACCCAGTGTTCGCGCATTTATTTAATGTTTGTTGAGAACGGACGATGTTGCGTGGGCTTGGCTAAGCTCCTTCTACTGCTGCTGCTGCTGCTGCTGAGTTTCCTTCTGTGGGTAGTGAATTCAGTGATGGCAACGGTCTAGGCTCTAGTGAGCGTTTGCATTTCTTCTTTGTTCATTTGGGGCACTTCCACCCCGCGGTGATTATAAAGACACGTCAGCTTTGGACAGTGGGATTTCCTTTGCCTCCAAGGTTTCGGGGATGAGAGGGCACGTAGGGAAATGTAGGACTTGGAGTTCCTTATTGTCCCGATATGGGCTCCATCTCAATTGTTAGGAAGGAGGAGGGATGTGTATTTCCAGCATACGCCTCGGCTGCTTTTTGTATTAACAGGTAGATAGTGTATTAAAAGCCTATCCTAGCAACTTAGAAAATAGAGAAAAACAGAAGATTATGCCTGACCTCTTTACCCTGAAACTATTGCTATTAATATTTTGATGGACTTCCTCTGCTTTTTTTCCTGCATTTTTTTTGCAATGATGTAACTGTGCTTATATATGATTTTTTGTTTTACTTTATTGTACAGCATGATATCATCATAATGGCAACAGATGATCCATTCTGAGCACCCAGGATGCCCTGGGCTCTTTACTAGAGTTTTAATTTTAAAATTTAATTAATTAATTTATTTTTATTAACATATAATGAATTATTTGCCCCAGGAATACAGGTCTGTGAATCATCAGTGTTACACAATTCACAGCACTTACCATAGCACGTACCCTCCCCAGTGTCCATCACCCAGGCCCCCACCCCCCAGTAACCCTCAGTTTGTTTCCTAAGATTAAGAGTCTCTTATGGTTTGTTTCCCTCCCTGGTCACTTCTGGTCTCATTTTCTCCCTCCCCATGCCCCATGACCCCTCACCCTGCCTCTCAAATTCCTTATATCAGAGAGATCATATGATAACTGTCTTTCTCTGATTGACTTAGCATAATACCCTCTAGTTCCATCCATGTCGTTGCAAATGGCAAGATTCTGTGTTTTTTGGTGTTTTTTTTTTGATGGCTGCATGGTATTCCATCATATGTGTGTGTGTGTGTGTGTGTGTGTATTATATATATCTGTGTGTGTATATGTGTACATATATATATGTTAGACTGGTGAATAGAACAGGGCCATACACTCAATTTTGGGTATATTTTGGTCTGTTAGAAGAAACTGCCTCCCAAAATTATAAAGAAAAAAAAAACTTATATATACAAAAATAAGGGTAAACATGAGGAATGGATGAAAATTAAAAAAGATTCTAAAAAAGGAATTGATAAGATAAGATGTTGGTTGAAAAAAAAAGAGGAAATAATGTGATCAGGCTGGACACTAGAACAAAGCCATGTGCTAGAGTATAGGGTATATTTTGATCTGTTAGAAGAACCTGTATCCCAAAATTTTAAAGAAAGAAGAACCTCTATGTATACAAAAACTAAGGTTAAATACAAAATATAAGGTTAAATACAATGAAGGGATAGAATATGACTGTAACAATGAAGACTTAAAACTATTTTTAAAAGGATTTTGATCAGATAACAGTTAAAAAAGGTTAAAATAGGAAAGAGGAAAAATTTTTAAATAGAATAAGAAAAAATAAAATTAAGAAATTTAAAAAACTTTAACACTGAAAGACTAAGGAATCATGGGAAAAAAGCCATGAATTCTATGTGCTGGAGTTTTGCTGTTCTCATTGATCGGTAAACTTGGTGTTGGCTGGATGTTCTTGTTGATGTTCTGGGAGCGAGGCCTGTTGCAGCGATTCTCAAATGTCTTTGCCGGAGGCAGAATTGCACCGCCCTTGCCAGGGTCTGGGCTAAGTCATCTGCGCGGTTTTGGTCTCAGGAGCTTTTGTTCCCTGATCGCTTTCGTACCGCTTTGGAGGACGGGAATGAAGATGGCGGCCGCCCAGTCTGGCCAGGAGGAGCCGAGAGCTCAGGGCCCCCCTCCTCAGTGCGCCGTCAGAGAAAAGCCATCAGTCCCTCCCGTCTCCGCGGTCTCCGGCTGTGCTCCGAGCTGACCTGGCCTGTGACCGAGCGTTTCTGTCTCTGGCGCACGGCCCCGTTTGGAGTCTCCAAACCCAGCAGATTCCTGCCATGTCCTCCGATGCTGCTTCTCCTGGAGGAGCAAGATGGGGGTCTCCCCAGAACTGCCACTTGTGGGGTCCCTGCTCAAAGAACAGTGGTCTGACTGTACCTCGGATCATGATTTAAGGTAACCCCGAGCTGAGAGCCCCCCTTCAGCTCCGTTTCTGCAGTTGGCTTCCCCGCTCTGATACCTGGGAGCTCTGCCACAACTCAGGCGCCCCCGGTCTTTCTGTGACCCCTGCAGGTCCTCAGACCCCACTGTTCACCCCTGGAACGACGTCCTTCAGTGGAGCAGACGTCCAAAAGTTCCGATTTTGTGCTCTGCTGCTCTCCTGCTTGCCTGGAGCCAGCCCCTCCCCCCACGGTCTATCTTCCCATATGTCGCCTCGGATTCACTTCTCTGCACCTTCTACCTTCCAGAAAGTGGTCGCTTTTCCGTTCCTAGAATTGCTGCTCTTCTCTTTGATCTCCTGTTGAGTTTGTAGGTGTTCAGAATGGTTTGATAACTATCATGCTGACCTCCTGGGACCCGATGATATTTAGGTCTCCTACTCCTCCGCCATCTTGCTCCCTGCTAGAGACTTCTATGTTATCTCATGAAGCCATATGGCAATCTTAGGAGGTGGTATTATTATCCCTCTATTAATAGATAAGATAACTGAGGCTCAAAGGGGATCCCTACACCTTTTGCCTCTCATCAGTCTGTAGCAGACCGCTGTGTTGTTTATGTTCATTTCATACCTGCATTGCCTTCCATGTATCCATGTACCTGTATGCATTGCACCTGATTCCTTGCCCTCCTTTTAGATCTTTATTTGCCACTAATCTTTTTTTGTGTGTGTGGATATAAATATTGCTGTCGCAAGGCTCTCTAAATAGAACTTTTTATATATCTAGGATTAATTTCTTAGGGTGGCTTTTCAGAAGTGGTTTCCTCAATCAGGAGTTTGAGCTTTTTATGACTGTGGATATTTTTGAATTGCCTTTCAATGGGGTTGCACACATTTGTACACAGTTGCCCTGTAACTAGAAGTATATGGGAATGCCAGTTTCACAGCATCCTCACCAGCACTGAGTGTTGTTGTTGTTGTTGTTTCGCTCTAAAAGATGATAGGGCATCTGGCTGGCTCAGGGGGTAGAGCGTGCAACTCTTGATTTCATGTCTTAAATTTGAGCTCCACATTGGAGTAGAGCTTACTGGGGGGAAAAATGTTGATAAATGGTCTGATAAGAAAATCTCTGATAAGTGGATTTCTTTGCATGTCTTTCATCATTAGAGAGGGTGAAAACCCCTTTTACTTCTCACCACTATGCAGGCACTTTCTGTTTCCTGTGCATTCTGAGAGCATCTTTGCTACCTTGGATCCTTTAAGATCAGAGGTTCTTAACCTAGGGTCCAGGGACTCTCCCAGGGGGTCTGTGGATAGAATTCAGGGAGTCTGTGAACTTGTTTGGAAAATAAATCTTTATTTTTATAAATTTGTCCCTGAGGTAGCACTCCTTCCATCCCATCGTGAATGCAGGCAATAAACCATTGTGTTAGCAGGAGCAGTGGTATCATTTATACTCAGCAACACTTGGAAATTATAGTAGTTACTAGACATGCAGCTTAGAACATGTGTTTGGATGTGTTAATAAACAAACACATTTATTGCCACATCACACATTTGTTTATAAAATATTTTGATCATTGTATTTCAGTATCATTGTTTTCCTGTGCAATCCCATGGGTTTTTAAAAAAATAAATACATTGAATTTTAAAATCCTCTTCTGAGAAGAGATCCATAGGTTTCACTTGACTACTAGTGGTGAGGTCCTAGCAAAAATAATATTGAAAACTCCTGTCCTACAAATCTTCATCATAGTAGAAATCTAAATGATTACATACTATGGCTCCAGGGAGAGGTCAGTTTCTCTCTTGTGAGTGTTCACTGGATTTAGTGATTCACTTCTAAAGAACAGCATATAGAAAGGGAAATATTAACTTCACAGTTGAGAAACCTGCAGACACCTCCTCCTTATCCAGGTGACCAACGTGACGAGTCACGTTGATGTCATGCATCCATGATATGATATGATGATGAGGGCACTTGTCTCTGTGGCATTTTCCTCCCCCAATCTATAACCCAGATCTAGCCATGAGCACATGCCAGACAACCCAGAT